GTTATAACGAGATCCAGTTTAAAAATAATTTCATGTCATGACAGCTCTACGCTTCTGTAGGAAGCCCTATTTTCCAAATTATTTATTTTTAAAGTCTGTTATGTTGTGAGTATACAAGATAAACTGATCACTATTTCATTTATTGATTTTTGATTTATTAAAGTTGCAAAAAACAAATGCTTTACAATTCTTCACTATAAATTTGCTTCCAATGATTTGACTCATTCTGTAGCCTCATAATAAAGTAGAAAATACTTTGAAAAAGCTTTATATAAAAAGAATTAAATGAAACCAGGAATAAATGATAGTTATAAATCCTTCTAGTGAATCGATCAGTGTTCCTGCTTCATGAAGCTTTATAAATATAGACTTTGTAGTTCCAACCTGATGTGTTAATGCCTCTGTTTTCCCACAATGCACCTAGTAAGAACAGAAACTCTGTGGCCTACGCTGCCCAGAAGTCCTGGCTGCTCAACGCTACAGTGGAGGAAAACATCACCTTTGGAAGCCCTTTCAACAAACAAAGGTGAACGCCCAACAACATGCAGCAAACGATCTAAAGAGTTCCGTTGAAAAACGAACAGCTACTAGGACGAAGCTTAAAGTCCATATTTGATGCCTGTTAAATCCCCATTGGGGAGTCAAGTTTTGAAATTTGGCTGAATGGTATACCCTAATCATTTTTACATATACAGTAAAAAAAATGTCAGTAATTCTTTCTGTTGACAATTATAAGTTGGTTTGTGGTGACAGGGTTTTATTGTGTGGTGTTCAGGTACAAAGCAGTGATTGATGCGTGCTCTCTTCAGCCCGACATCGACCTGCTGCCYTATGGAGATCAAACTGAGATTGGGGAGAGGGTATGAAAATCGAATGTAACTTTTTAACTCCGTCAGTTCTWATGTCCTGGTACTAAACTGATGTTTCTGTTTCAGGGCATTAATCTGAGTGGAGGTCAGAGACAGAGAATCTGTGTGGCTAGAGCTCTTTACCAGAACACCAGTATTGTCTTCTTGGTGAGTTCAGGACTTCACTGGAAGTGTCTGTATTATTATTTTTGATACATATTTGTGAGGGATACCACATGATGGGTGGTGGTCCTGATTTTTAAAATTGAAAATTGGAAAATGTGTCCTAATGTGTCCCATTCCTGGGAAGGGTGTGACTGATCGTTTAACTTTGGATTCATGAGATGCATTGTGATTCTTGCTCTGGTTCTTGCTCCTCTGCATTAATCAGTATTGAATAGTTKAATTTCCCCCTGTGAAAGCTTTATTTACTTAACAAGCCCATCTTGGACATTACAGCCTTCACTGGCGTTCCTTTATACCCTCCTGACACTTTGTAATGTCTGCAGTGATGAATTTAGGCTGTCGAACACAAAAAGGAGGGAATGTTTTCTTTAGGATTATTTAACTCTGATCCTATCTGATCTTCAAAATCRAGTGAGATCTAAATGTCATGGAGTCTCCTCGTGTAAGGCGTTAAGTCATCACAACTTACCATCTAATAAAGAAACACACTGCACATGATATTCCATGTTGATGAACCTTTGGCAAGCATTTATGGCATAGCTAAATTTCTAATCTTCCAAATATTGATTGGTGCCAAAAATCCAATGAAAAWATTTCACACCCTGTTAAAATATGTGTCCAAAAGGACTCTGAGAATTTGATGCTTTTTTTWAATTCAAGCTATGATTGATAAATTAAATCTGGGTGTATTTTCTACTAAATGCTTAATACCTTAATACCCACTGTTTGAGCAAATTTATTTGTAACTATGCCGGTAATTCATCATCAGGATGGCACATTAAAACTAAGGCATGTGCCCCAACAACAAGGGTCTGATGACTCCTATGCTACAACTGCTGAATGTACAATGCCAAAAACAAATTCACAACTGATTTGCAGCTCTAATGAAAAGACTGTAGGTTTACTTGTGGTTCCTAGAGTTTCTAAAAGTTGAATAGGAGGCAGAGCTTCTAGTTATCGGCCTCTTTTGTAGAACCAACTTCCAATTTTTCTCCTTGAGGCTGACACTCTTGTCTACTTTTAAGACTAGACTTTCCTTTTTGATAAATCYTATAGTTAGGGCTGGTTTCCTGGGTTATTCCTTAGCTCTGCTGCTGTAGGYTTAGACTGCTGGAGGACAAACTGACAACATTCCTCACTCTGCTGCTACCGTTACTCCATAATTAGCCATAAAAGTACCACAAGTACAACAAAATACTGTGGCAGTGYAGACAGTGTTTTTGCATGTAGAATAGGTTGCCTTCAGGCCCAGGCCGCCCTTGAAAAAGAGATATGAGATCTCAATAGGACTTGCCTGGTAAAAATAACGGTAAATAAATAAATGTAAACATGTAAATGAAGTCTCAGATGAAAAACTTTTGTTTACKATGACATTTAACCAGTGGTGGGCAGCGCTAATCTAAAAATTAGCTCCGCAATTTCTAAAGCACTTATGAAAATATTTAGGTCTGCAACTTCAAAGCGCTTATGCCTTTAAAAAACTAGTGGAAGCTATTTTTAAAGTGCAAGTGCAATGTCACACTTACTAGCTGGCAGCAATTCATGTACAATATATGCACAACRTTGCCAACTAGCAGTGTATGAACTCTTTTACAACTTAATTCTACAACCACCGATTGCTGGGGATTTGATTTCCTGAAACAGACCTTTAGCTCCTGGTGTAAAAATTAAGAAGTTGTTGAGGATTGCTAGTTCGGCTGATTCTTTAAAAAGTTGTTGAGGATTGCTAGTTCGGCTGCTTCTTTGTCTTTTTCTTTTGTTTGTTGTAGTTTTTTCATTAAAGAAGCATCAATAAAGCAATTTTAAAACTGTTTATTGGAAAACTGAAGCGATGTATTCTGGGTACATGACGGATTTGATTTGTGACGGGAAAGCACGGAGTACAGGAAACTATCTTCCCTTCAAAATAAGAGATTGGATTTTAAAGTTTTCCATGTAGTTGCCTCATTTGACCACTAGATGTCAGTCTTCATCAGCATAAAATTTTTAAATCATTTCTGAGTCTCTAACCCTGTTGTCCGATTGCTTCGACCAATTACGTCAAGTATTGAGCTCCAGCGTTTAAACTTTTTATGTATTTTTTTAAAAAGGAGCTCTGATTGTAATGTAAAATAAATCAATACATACAAAATTTTAGTATGGATTACAAACGTTAACTGTTTTTGCTAATGCCTTCCTGCTACGTAAGCAGACACAAAGCATTGTGGGAAATCAGAACCGTGACCGAAAAGCARCAGTCAGCAAGGATGTATACCTTTCCAATAAGTGTGTTTATTTGGGAGGGGTGCTGTTGGATGTGTTGTGATTCATTTACAGCCAATTAGTTATTAGCAGTACTACATTTTAATAAAAAAAAAAAAAACACAAATACGCTTATGAATTATAAAATTAGTAAGACCGCTAAAGTGCAAACAAAATATTTAGGTCCGCAATTAGCGGATTTGCRCTTTAGCGGGCTGGTGCCCACCACTGCATGTAACATTTCAAAGAAGCTATGTTCATGCTGCAGAGTTTCCATTTCTGGCTAGGAAAGTCAAAAATCTCTCATTTTTAACTGGGTTTCTCATTTTCTACATGCTGTAGTTGCTTCTTTTCTGCTTTGCAACTTATTTTGTTTCATGTTGAACAGGACGATCCGTTCTCAGCCCTGGATATCCACCTGAGCGATCACCTGATGCAAGAAGGAATCCTCAAGTTTCTTCAAGACGATAAGCGAACAGTGGTTCTTGTCACCCATAAATTGCAGTATCTTATACATGCAGACTGGGTAAGGTTCACATTTTACAACCTATAATAAAACATACACATGTTGACAGGCTTAATCCTTCGAATCTCTTCATTCTCATGGTTTTACACACCAAGAAATATTAAAGGGGCAATATTATGTGTTTCTCAGCCATATATTTAAATTCTATATCATAATAAAGTAACTGTCACCTTTAGTTGTTAATAAAATGCTGTTTTTATGTTTAAATAGAAAATAAATTTGTCTTCTCATCACTTCCTCTTCTAAACACCTTGAAATTGGCCTCTGTCTCTTTAAGAACCTCCTTCCTTATTGGGAGCTCAGCAGACAGTTTCAGTTTCAGTTTCACCAGTTGTTTGCTTTGTTGCTGCYGAGAGCCTGCAGGGGTCAGGGTTGAGGGGTGGGGAGGTGTGCACTGTGATGAGGAAGCTCCAAAAGGCGGTTCTAGTCCCACCCAGTCRTTTTTGCTCCCCTGCCTGACTGCCTTAGGACACAACAGGATATCTCAAATGTGCATAAATGAGTCAAAGTAAGACTTTGGGCATGTTTTTAATGAGAGGGTAACATTATAACATGATATAAAACTCAAAAAAGTTGATTTTACATGATACAACCCCTTTAATAAAAAATCTTGTCCTATCTTGTTTTCAAATTGATTGAATACAGTCTCAAAGTYAATATATGTTTTTATTTTGTGGTGTTTGTCAGAAACTGAACCAAAATATGCTTGTGGCACGTATTAACCAGGGGCTCCAAACAAGTATGACCATCTTTACCTTACTGGTATGAAGCAAAGATCTGTGTTACCAGGTGCCAGGATGGAGAAAGATCAGCAATGACCTTAGAGCTGGAGTTGTTGTTGTTTGTCAATCTGGGTACACCATTTCCAATCCATATTCTTTGGACAGACGAGACCAGAGTAGGGTTGTTTGGCTGTATTATTCAATTCAGTTCAATTCAATAMTACTTTATTAATCCTAAAGGGAAATTAAATGTCGTTGTAACTCATATTATTGTGGTTTCTTTAAAGAGTTTTATAGATACTGATGGCTGTGGGCAGGAAGAATCTCCTGTAGAGGTCTGTCTTATAGCAGATCTATAGAAGCCTTGACTGATGTCTCAGTTGTAGTTTGACAGTCAGATGAAGAGGGTTCTCAGGGTTGTCCATCGTATGGTCATAAAGCCTGGCAGGGAGATGCTGTATTCAGGTATATAATCCTGCACCTAGTCTCAGTGAAACACATAATGTTATATTCCCAATACTCTGGTTGGGTTCTTGTTAGGACTTGGAGTATGTCCAAATATTCCCCAACAATCTCCCGTTGCCCATCATGATTGATGGAAGAGATAGTTTGAACTTCCTCCTTCTCTCTCTCCCCACTTTGYTCATGCTCTGMATCCACAGCATCTCCTTTTCAACTCATTTGGGATTGGGAGCTGTAGTTAAGGCTGTACTTTGAGGTATTATTTGTGCTTTTGAGATGTTAATCTGCTGCTCCCAGTTGTAACAAACCACCATGCTRCTATGGTTACGCATCATAAGAAAATGTCCAAAAGCAAAATAGGTGTTAGCAAAAATCCTTCCAGCTTCCCAGCATCTAATAGCAGAGGGGATATTTATCAAAAAAAAGCTATTTTCATCCAGAAAAAGTGGAATTACAAATTAATTAAAGTTTAAAAAGAATATCTCAGAATGAATATAACAGTTCCTTGTTACCACCTCAGRGCACAATTCAGTAGCAGGTTTGGAGAAAACCAAACACAGTATCAGCACTAACCCCTCATTACAATTGAAAAGCACGGAGGTAGAAGACTGGTGGTTTGGGCCTTGRCCTGGTCACCCTGCAGTCATTGGGTTGACAAACTCTTTGCATGTCAAAGTTACATGGAGTCAAATGTGAAAACTTGTTCACCTGCCTAAATTTAGCTGAAATTGTGACAGGAAACRAGACAATGAGCCCAAACAGAAGAACATCATCCTTGGGAAAAAAAAACGAATCAGGGTTTTGCACCAGTCTAATCAAAGTCCAAACCTTAAGTAAATTGAAATGCTGTGGTGGGACCTTTAGTTAGTCGAGCAGAAGTGAATGTCAGTAAAGTTTAATAAACTGAAGTATGTAAAGAAGTGTGTGTCAAAATTCCCCCATAAAGATGTGAGAAGCTGACTGTCAAACAGCTACTTCAAGTTATTGCTATCTTTTCCTCATTTAAAGGCCTTAGATTATGTCCTGATCCTGATCATTGACAAACTAATGCGTTTTCCATGACTGTCTGGTGTTTTTTGTGTAGATCATAGCGATGAAAGATGGCTCAGTGCTTAGAGAGGGAACCCTGAAGGACATACAGACTCATGACACAGAACTTTATGATCACTGGAAAACTCTGATGAACAGGCATGACCAGGAGCTGGAGAAGGTAACCTCACAGTTTCAACTTAAAATAGAATATTACATTAATTTCACAAAATTCTATTTGAAGAAACTTAAAGATGAAGAAACGTGTACATTTGAAAACTGATAATTCCCCAGGTATAGTCTCAGGTAGTTTTAGTTTGTTGTAACATCTCTGGAGATTTTATCGTTTTAATTGGATAATGGACATCTTTGCAGGACATTCAGCAGGACAGTCAAACAACACTTGAAAGGAAAACCCTGAGGAGAGCATTCTACTCCAGAGAGCCCAAGAATCAAATGGATGATGAAGATGAAGGTTCAAAGTTTTTTTTTGTGATTGTAAATAGCTTTCAAAATTTTAGCGCTGCTGGTAGATATTTTCATTCTTAATAATCAAACACACCCATTTTTGTCACTTTGTTCATAATTAAGCACTATCAAGTTTTGTCTCAAATATAAACGTACTACTTCAAATATTCAAATCTGATTMTTTTTTGCCAACAGAGGAAGAGGAGGAGGAGGAAGATGATGATCATTTATCCTCCACTACCAACAGACGATCAAAGATCCCTTGGAAGGTCRCATATTTTACATCTGTAATTTACTGCATCATGGGTATTTTAGAGTTGATTAAAATATTAATAGCATCAAAAGGAAATAAGCCAGTTGTTGCCTGGACTTCTCTACAGGGTGTATCAGAAAAAATGATACTCTCAGAAAAATCGCCATAAAATTAACATAGAAAATAATTTTGAAAATGTGAGCGTAACCTTTGGTAGAGGGGTCATTCAGGTTTTGAATGACACCAAAATCTTCGTTAACGCTTCACAACTTTCGTTCATTAAAACAACATGATCACAAACATCACCTTCCTTGCGCAAAGGACATACATTTTGTGAATTTCCAACTGTCCCTGCTCACYGGAGTGAGCAGTAAGTGAGTAAGTGYGTTAAGATTTTGGTGTCATTCGAAGCAGAATGATCCCCTCTACCAAAGGTTGTGCCCACATTTTCAAAAAGATTATCTTTGTTAATTTTATGGCGATTTTTCTGAGAGCATAATTTTTTCTGATACATCCTGTATAGCATTGGTAAAATCAAGATAAAATGCCCAAAAATATGTGTTACCATTTTTTCCATATTTTTGTCCTTTTCTGACTGTAAGATGAGAAGTGGTTTAAGTTCAGAAGTTTTACAAATGTTCTAAATGTTATAATTTATAATAACATACATTTTATGATTGGCTACACCCACATCTAATATAATACAGTTTTTAAAATTTCATATTCTCAAAAATTTTAGTTTTAATCCCGACTGACTGGTAGAGCTTCACCACCTGCTGGTTGACCTTCAGTCTTCTTAAAATAAAGGGTGTCCCGATACCACTTTTTCCCGAACCAAGTACAAGTATATCAGTTTGGGTATTCACTGATACAGTGTACTTAGTGAGTTGGAACTTAAACATTACACAATGATTATAAAAACACAGTTATTTTATTTAGAACCTGATACTAAATCAGATATATCTGATGTTGTTTGGAACGACTGCTTTCCCAACGCTCATGTCTCTTTTCATCCGACTTTCACGTCAGTGATGTGGAGGTATGCAGCTCAAAGTAATAATAGACACCTCGAGTCTGTTTAAATCTTGTAGCTTCRCATGTCTTCAACTAAAGAACAGAAGTCCAGTTGCTTTGTTTTTGTTTTAATTTTCCATGTCCTGGATGACTGAGAATCCACAGAAACATGATACTAAYGTCTGTCTCTGAAGGGATGGTGCAAAAACTACGGCTATAGCAAATGCTCTTATAGCAAATTGTTTTAAAGGCAATAAATTCTACTTTGATTTTAATTATCCATACAATTAATTATCTGATTTTAAATTGTGAACCATGATAAATGATGTGTTGTTCAGTGTGACCTGTAGTGTGATTGACTGTAAAAAGATCAGTCTGTGAGCATCTTTTTCTGAGTCTCGATGATGATGGTTTAAGATAARTTATCCTTTGTGTGTTCAGGTGTGCTGGTGTTACCTGTCCTCTGGTGGCTTCTTCATGGTCTTCCTGATGATTTCCTCGCAGTTCCTCAAACACTCTGTCATTGTTGCTATTGATTACTGGCTGGCTAAATGGACCTCCAAAACCAATCAGAGTACAAACCCAGGGTCAGACATGAACAATGGAACCATGTTTGCTGACAGCAGCAACATAACAGTTCCTCCTCCTGGTCTTCAGGAGGCTGAGGTGTGATATTCTTTTTTCACTATGATCGTAATGGAAGTTCATTTTATCAGCTCTGAMCTCTTAATGTTTGATTTTCCAATTTAATGACAATAAGATGAGAAATACAAAATGTGCCAGTTGAAACATCCCTGGACCTGTAAAATGCCCAGTTAACATTATACTGTACTTTATAGAAACTAAATTTGTATTTGGACATTGGACAAGCAGTGTGTATTTTGTGTTTGAATCACAGAATGACTCGTACCATCTGCCCGTTTTTGTCATCCTGTGCGCTGCTGGGATCACTTTGTGCCTCATCACCTCCCTCTCTGTGGAGTTTCTGGGCCTTTCTGCAGCCACCAACCTGCATCACAACCTGCTCAACAAGATAATCCACGCTCCCATCAGGTAAAAACACAAAACAAACACACGCAACCATCTGGTCTGAAGTTAAAAACCAACAAGCTCAGTTCACAATCAAGTACAAGTATGTTTTAAAACTGTCCAGGATCAGCTCTTATTTTTTATTGCCTGTGTTGTTTTCTATTAAAGTTATTTAATTTTGTGCAAGGGCTTCACATAAGGTAATCTGTTGATTTCCAAATATATTTCTACAATGACCCAACCATGAAGAAGTGCACTCCATGTTGTGACAATGTCTTGTGACATGTGATTCGTTCCCAATATATAAATTGAGTACGAAAGCTTGATACATACTATGTTGTCATATGCCTTTCATTGGTTCTGTTGGTGTGACGTTTTACAAGGGGCAATACATGATATTGCCCCTTTAATAAAGTCCAAACCAAACACACAGCAGCCACTTATACAATCATTTCTTCCAGCTTCATATTTGTGGAATGAAAAGGCAGAAAACATTGGTCTTGTATTGGTACATGTGACTGAGTACAGGGCACAATCTGTACCATAGAGAAAAGTGTATAGACGTGGTTGGTACTCTTACAATGCCACATATACAACACCAAATGTACATTAGCAAGCACACAGCATTATAAATAATATGCATTGATTAGACATAGTATAAAATCCCTGATTTTTAGGCCTACAAAGAGTGTTGCTCAGTGAAGCTGATGTCACAGTGCCCATTGTGTGAAAGGAGTGGGATTTGGTGTGTATGTTCCCAAATTTTGGTAAATTTTTGTGCAAAATGTGATTTGTAAAGAGGAAAAGCAACAGAGCAGAACCTTGGAGTAGTTTTTTTTAAATATGTTCAATACGAATGAAGAGAAGTCAATAAGGTAAATATAAGGGTTTAGTAGGGACAGACCCAGGGCGCAGGCAGGTTTAAAAAAGGAACAAAAAGATTTATTAAATAACAGAAAATGCTGTTGAGGCAGCTCAAA